TTATTTAATGCGTTTTTTAACATTCCATTGTTGCGTGGTGGAAATTTTTCGGATTGGAAGGACAAAATTATCTTGACATTAGGGTGTATGGACTTGGATTTGGCACTTCGCATTGAAGAACCTCCAGTACCCACTGAGTTAAGTTCATTGACTGAAAAGAGTGCCTATGAGCGGTGGGAGCGATCTAATCGCTTAAGTCTAATGTTCATCAGGTCACATGTGAGCAAGAGCATCAGAGGTTCTATTCTAGAATGCGATATAAGTAAAGGACTACATGAAGGCCATTGAAGAGCAATTTGTCAGTTCAGATAAAATCTTGGCCAGCACCCTGATGAACAAGTTATCAGGCATGAAGCATAACAAATCTAGGACTGTGCGTGAACATATTATGGAAATGAGGGACATTGCAGCTCAACTTAAGTCCCTTGAGGTAGAGATCTCTGAGTCATTCCTTGTGCAATTCATACTTAATTCTCTCCCTGCAGAATTTGGACCATTCAAGATTTCTTATAACACACACAAAGAAAAATGGTACATCAATGAAATTCTGACTATGTGTGTTCAAGAAGAGGAGAGGCTTAAGCATGAAAATTTAGAGAGTGCCCATCTGGTCACTCATAAAGGTGGACAAGGTAATAAAGGTAAAAGTGTTCTTAAATGGAAGAAAGATGGAAAAGATTCATTCAAGAAACATGGTCATAAGAATGCTTGCTTCTTTTGCAAGAAGAAGGGACACTTCAAGAAAAATTGTCTGAAATATAAGAAGTGGCTTGAGAAGAAAGGTAATATCATATCTCTTATGTGTTATGAATATAATTTAATTGATTCTCATCATAATACTTGGTGGATTGATTCAGGTACCATAATTCATGTTTGCCAATATTATGCAGGGCTTCCTCAACCTAAGGAAAATGATGGGAAGTGAACATGGTATCTATTCAGGAAATGGGATGCGTTCGCACGTCGAGGCTGTTGGAACTTTTAGACTTGTTTTAGAAACTAGCTTTGTTTTTTATCTTGAAAATACTCTTTATGTTCCTTCATTTTCTAAGAACTTAATTTCTGTTTCTAAATTAGTACCTTTAGGGTTTGAATTCAACTTTGTTGGTTTGGACTTTCGTTTGTTCAAAAACTCTAGTTTGGTTGGCTATGGAACCTTAGTTGATGGTTTGTACAAATTAAATTTGGATCCTGCTTTTGAACATAGTCTCCTGACCTTGCATGATGATATTGGCACTAAAAGGACTATTATTGATGAGAATTCCTCTATGTCGTGGCACAGGAGATTAGGACATATCTCCATGAAAAGAATTAAAAGATTGGTTAATGGTAGAGTCTTAAAGGCTCTTGATTTTTCTGATTTTGATACTTGTGTGGATTGCATAATGGGAAAGCAAACCAACAAGACCAGTAAAGGTGCCAAGAGGAGTGAAGAAATACTTGGAATCATACACACTGATATCTGTGGACCATTTTCTACCCCTTGCTTAAATGGTCAGAGATATTTTATCTCATTTATTGATGATCATACATGATTTGAGTGTCTCTACCTTCTGTTTGAAAAATCTGAAGCATTGGATGCTTTTAAAATATTCAAACGAGAAGTAGAGAAACAATTGGAAAAAGAAATTAAAATTGTACGATCAGATAGGGGTGGAGAATATTATGGAAGGTACACAGATTTGGGACAAAGGCCGGGTCCATCTGCTGAATATTTAAAAGATGAAGGTATTGTTGCTCAATATACTATGTCAGGTTCACCTTACCAAAATGGTGTGGCTGAAAGGCGAAATCGCACCCACCCTTATAGACATGGTAAGGAGTATGCTAAGCAATTCTAATCTTCCTTTGTTTTTGTGGAGTGAAGCCTTGAAGACGGGAGTGTATATCTTAAACAGGGTTCCCACTAAAGCCGTTTCCAAAACTCCATTTGAGTTATGGAAAGGATGGAAACCCAGTTTATGACATTTTCACATATGGGGCTATCCAGTTGAGGTTAAGATTTATAATCCACAATTAAAGAAATTGGACCCAAGGACAGTCAGTGGATATTTCATTGGCTATGCAGAAAAGTCTAAAGGTTATAAATTTTACTGTCTATCACACACACCTAGAATTGTTGACGCAAGAAATGAAAAATTTATTGAGGGTGTTGACATTAGTGGGAGTATTCCTCCAAAGATTGAGTGGGAGGAATCACAGGATTCGGATACCATATCTGTGAATAAAGATAAGATGGTTATCATTCAAGATAATCTAGATGATATTCAAGTACTACCACCACAAGAGGAACAAGTCAACATAGAGTCTACAGCTCCAAACCCACAAAATATGGATGAGACTGTAGAACTAAGGAGATCCTCAAGGGTAAAAAGACCAGTTATTTCTGATGATTACTTCGTGTACCTATTAGAGTCTGACTTTGATGTTGGACATAATGATAATCCTATCTCATTTTCACATGTCATAAGTGGAGAAAATTCACATTTTGGTACGAGGCCATGAAAGAAGAGATGGAGTCCATAGCTAAAAATCAAGTTTGGAAAATTGTTGAGTTACCTAAGGGAGTCAAGGTCGTTAGCTGTAAGTGGGTCTATAAGACCAAGAAAGACTCAAATGGTAATATCGAACGATATAAGGCCAGACTTGTAGCTAAGGGCTTCACTCAAGAGAAGGCATTGATTATCACAATACCTTCTCTCCAGTTTCTAAAAAGGACTCTTTTAGAATAATCATGGCATTAGTAGCTCATTTCGATTTAGAGCTACATCAAATGGATGTGAAAACAGTTTTTTTAAATGGAGATCTTGACGAAGAAGTGTACATGAAGCAGCCTAAAGGATTTTGTTCTGATGAGAATAGTCATCTGGTTTGTAAGCTAAAGAAATCCATATATAGACTAAAGCAAGCCTCCCGTCAGTGGTATCTTAAGTTTCATAATGTTATTACCTCATATGATTTTGAGGAGAATGTTGTGGATAATTGCATATACCTTAAGGCTAGTGGGAGTAAATATATTTCTTAGTCTTATATGTTGATGACATTCTACTTGCAGCCAATGATTTGAGTTTGTTGCATAAAACTAAAGAATTTCTTTCACAAAACTTTGAGATGAAGGATATGGGTGAAGCCTCCTATGTCATAGGCATAGAGATTCATAGAGACGGGACTCAAAGAAAATTAGGCTTGTCTCATAAAGCCTACATTGAAAAGGTTTTGGAGAAATTCAGAATGAATGAATACACACTTAATGCAGCTCCAATCGTAAAGGGTGACAAATTCAGTTTAAGCCAGTGTCTGAAAAATGCTTTGGAAAAGGAACAAATGAATAACATTCCCTATGCATCTGTTGTTAGCAGTTTGATGCATGCACAGGTTTGTGTAAGACCTGACATTGCATTTGCGGTAGTAATGATTGGAAGGTACCAAAACAATCCGGGAATGGAACATTGGAAGGCAGCTAAGAAAATCTTAAGGCATTTACAAGGAACCAAAGATTGTATGCTGACTTACAAGCATGGAGACTATCTTGAAGTGGTTGGATATTCTGACTCGGATTTTGGGGGTTGTTCGGATTCTAGAAAATCCACTTTGGGATATGTTTTCATGCTAGCTCGAGGTGCTATATCATGGAAAAGTACCAAATAGACGATAGTTGCATCGTCTACTATGGAAGCAGAGTTTATAGCATGCTTTGAAGCAACCTCACAGGCGAAATGGTTAAGAAATTTCATCACAGGGCTCCAGATTGTGGATTTTATTTCCAACTCATTAAGACTTTACTGTGATAATTCGACTGCTATTTTCTTTTCTAAGAATAATAAAAGTGGAAGCCGAACTAAGCATATTGATATTAAGTATCTCATTGTCAGAGAAAAAGTCGAAGAACAAGAAGTATCTATTGAGCATGTTAGTATAGATCTGATGTTAGCAGATCTCATGACTAAAGGGCTCTCAGTTAAGACGTATTTGAAACACGTAGAGAACATGAAATTAGTTGGCTCATTATATGGTTGACTTCTTGGTTTGTAAATATTTGATCATGATCAATGCAGACTTTAGCTATTTTGTGCACATAATGTATTGTTTGTGATATACTATTCATTGAGACTAGTAAGTAGTCCATTGGGACTATAGGACCCGGAATGACTTGTAAGAAGTCATTTATAAGAAGTGATGTGACATAAACTTCTGAGAAAATGATGCATTATAATACAAGGAATGGAGTGTTCATTTAAAAGAGCACAATCGCTTTGATTCGTGTATTATTTTTCTTAATAAAGTTTGGGTAATTATTTAATTGTATGGTCATATTCAGTATCAAATGTTGGTTATCCAAATTGTCTGATGTGTCATGTGTGCCAAGTGGAGAATGTTGAACTTTATGTCTAATTAATATTGGACTCTATCTCTAATTAGAGACTTAAGATGGCCCACATGCCATATCATCTTTTAATAAATAAAATATTATGTATATTTAATATATATCTTATTTACTGAGTCAAATTTTTTTGGGTAACTGACGTTAATGTAACTACCCACTACTCCCATCATCAGATGGAGTGACCATCATGGAGCAGTTTAAAGCAGTTGTAACTCCTTGATGGAAGGACATTACTTACAGTTTTTCTATTGAAAAAGGGTCCCTGCCTATATATATAATTTCATGCTTGTGATTTTCCATCAAATCATATGTGAATTCAAATATCATATATGTAGGCAAGAAACTCTTCTCTCATATACCTCCAAACAGTACATATTTTGTGAGGTTGTTCTTGAGTGTTGAGATTAAGGCTGTGATACGGATTTGTGTTTGTTGGGGTCGTTGGGTTCGTTGATTATTCTCTCTATAGAGAATTTGGATTTCTTGTTCTCGAACTTGAATATCAATGGCAGGAGGTAAGTATTCGATTCCGCTATGTAAAATAGAAAGATTAAATTCTTCAATAAAGTCTATCATCTGAAACCCTCTAACCCTGAAAGACAAACCCTCTCCAATGCACGCCTCACAAGCGAATTCAAGTTCCAGAAGATTGGCAAATCTTGTAGGCATTGGAGTTCTTCATTCCTTAACTTGCTCCCTTCTAACTGTAATCTAACCAGGATTTGAAGAGAAGGTATCCAATGTGGTTCCTTCTCTAGTGGTCCGTCCAAAAATAGCTTTTGTAGAGATGAAGGACATGAAGACAAAGATGGTAGTTGAAGGAACTCCAACTCCGACTCTTCCATAAAAATTAAGGAAACATACAATGAGCGAAGATTGCTTAGTTTTGCAAGGGATGAGCAAAGGGTCACATTGTCTTCTCTTCTCAACTTTGTAATGTATAAAGTATTTAGTTGGGTAAGCATCCCCACTTCTCCCATTATAATGTTTCCATTGCTTCCGCTTGCATCAATTGTACCAAGCTTTTGCAAAGATGACAAATTCCCTATATTCGTTGGTACTTTAAAACCATTTCCCCAATATCTGTCCACAATAAGGTATCGAAGTTTTTGAAGCTCTCCTAGTTGGATCGGTAACTTAGTTACAGCAATACATCTTAGATCCAAGATCTCTAGGTTCCGAAGCTTTTTAATGGATTTTGGAAAGACTCCCACCTTGGTTCCCGTCATTTTTAGATACTTGAGATGAAGTAGTTCACAAACTCCACGTGGGAATGTATCCACCGGTGCAAAACTCAAATCTAAAACTTTTAGCAACTTACAACCATCAATTAAGGGCAAAATAGAAGATCTCTTACTTCTTGAATCTACCTCCTAGAACATAAGCAGCGAACAAGTTTTCGAAAACACTTGCTTTGTTTTACATCTTCTAAATTGTGTATTGCTAATCGTCGAACTTTGTCTGGCCATCTTACATCTTGATCTTGTCGTCCACTAGCTATGGTTACAAAGTTTTGCTCTCTGGACTTGGACAAAAGAATTTCCCACAAAAGATCATGGATATGACATGTTCTAGGTCTTCCATCCCATTTTGTCTCCAGTACTTGGATTAAACTTCTGTTGACAAGTTCATTGAAATATCCTTCAGCAACTTCTTCTGCAGTCTTTCTTTCTCTCTCTTGCACAAATCGTTCCATGGTCCACAACCGAATCACTCTTTTCCTTTCAATCTCGTAATCCTCAGGAAAAATGCTCAAATACAGCAACAAATTTTGAGATAATATTTTATTTATTCTCTCAAGTTTGTCATTGTTTTCCAATTCATCCCCGAGGCTGCATTGAACCCATGGTTCTGAATAACGGTAACGGTAACTTTGTAAAGGATGCGGGATGAAACGGGCATTATATAACGGTAACGGAAACCGAATGCGTGAATTTTTTTTTTCAACTCACAACCTCTTATAAAACATGAATATTTACATATTTCAACTTAAAATCATGCAAATATAGGTGTTTAATGATTTAGTGCATTTTATTGTATCATAAACATGATAATAAAACATCATAAGTATTAATAATATTTCTTAAGTCACTATGCAATAATGATATTTCCATTAGCAACAATTGAACAAATGAAATGCACAATTATAAATCTAACAATTTATTAAATGAAACATATTGATAGAACCAAAATGATTTTTAGAATAGTACAATACAATAAAAAAGAGAAAGAAATAATGTTACCTTTCAACAATCTCACTACCAAAAAGAACGATGCGGAGGATCCAAACATTGAGATTGAGATTGATCTTGATTACCTCCACTATCATCATTCCATCATGTGGGCAACATATAAGTAAATGTTCCCAATTCAACTCCATTTTGTCGTGGTTGCTCTCCATATGTATGCAATGTCAAGTAATTGTTAGGGTTCACAAGCCCTAAAGAATTATCTTGGGGATGTAACGGTGGAGGGTAGTGTTGAGGAGAATAACTATAAGGGTAGGGCCTATAATTTCCAGCTGAATAGCCTGATGAGTGGTAGTTTTCATTACCACTACCATATGATGAATCACTAAGGGTGAGATCACTCAAACTATGCATAACACTAGACGAGGAATCTTCATATTCATTCCAATTTCTCGTATTTCTGCTTGATTTTTTCCACGCCGTGATTTTTACCATAAGCTTCTGAATCAATTCTAACCGCACTAAGTCCATGATCCCCGCGAAACAGTGAATCATGACAATGACCACTAGTATCACCCTGAGCTGGAAGGTTACCCTCACAATTATAACCATAAATTTGGGTTAGACTAGCAACCCGATGATCCCCATCACCATCATCATCACCATCACCACCACCACCATCATCACCATTGTCACTACCACCACCATTATCGCTTTTAGTTGGCGCAGGACTAGAATCAGAGCCTTGGTTATCAAGTGACTCAGAAAGAGGTATGCATTCATTATCATCATCTTCACCAAAAGAATTCATCCAAGAGTGAGTTTCCTTATCCAAGGGCATCAATGGTTCTTCCCTTTCTTCTAACCATGGATTTAGGGGATCATCTTCATGAAATATGTAATTCAAATTGATAGGATTAAAGTTATTCTCAATCTCTTGCTGGTTCTTTCGCATAGTATGCCTAATTTTCAATTTCATGTTATAGTGAATGAAAACAAGCTTTTGGAGTTTAGCATATTTCAACCTGTTTCTCGTCTTGGTGTGAATAAGACTCCATGTGCTCCAATTACGCTCACAACCAGAAGATGAAGTAGTCTGACTTAGTACCTTAACTGCTATACTTTGAAGCTCAGGAGCACATGAGCCATAAAGAATCCACCATTCAGCTACATAAAATAAATTTTGATGAATTCACAAATGAATAAATATACATTGACTACATATTATAAATTGTAACTTAACTTACCAGGATTTGTTTTGTTAATTGCTGCTTGTGCAATATTTGATCCAAATGTTTCTGCTTTATCCTGAAACAAAAACATCTACATACATTATAATTGTGAAATAATGTGTATTAGATAACATGTCATTCAAATAATAAATAAAATTGTAAGTAAACAAGCACTATATACCTGATTTATTGTCTTAATCTGACATTCAATATTCGGCTCCAATTTTTGTATTACTTTCTGCGTTCCATCCATTGTTTCTCGGAACGTCTCCCTAGAGTTGGTAGTAGTATACTGGAATTGTGGATTCAAGAAGTAACCTACTCATATATAAATATTAATTTTTAGTTCATTATGACTACTTATTTATCCACACATAACATGCAAATTTCATACAGGTATATAAAAAACATAACTTTGTAGTCCATACTTACCAGCAGCATGCAAATCATGATGTAACTGAACAGACCATCGACGATCAATAATCTTCCAATAGTCAACCCAATATCAAGAATCTTTTTTAATAGCCAACTTTGCTCGATCCATTGCTTCATATATAAAACCCATTGTAGGTTTCTCATCTCCATCTACTAACCTTAACACCCTAACCAATGGCTCTTGAACAATCAGAACTTCATTACCTCTCTTCCAAAAGTCTTTGCCCATAATCAAATTTTTTACATCACTAGGAGGGCCGATTTTCATCTTCCCAAAACTAGTTGTCTTATAGTCATCAGAAGTGAACAGAGCCTTTAGGTTATCTTTCTGCCTAATAATGCTCTCAAGTGCAATGAAATTTGTGGCAAATCTGGTAATTGAATGGCGTAACAATTCTTTACCATTTGTATATTTTTTCATCAAATGGTATACCCTTGGATAATTGTAAATGAAGCTTGTGATAGACTTTGCATCATCTAGAACCTTTGCAACAAATTTTTTTTTTTTGAAATGTCCTCAAGTATAAGATCAATACAATGTGCTGCACACGCTGTCCAATACAAATATGGTCTTTTCTCCATCAACTTCTTTCTAGCAGTCTTAAGAGTTGTTTCATTGTTAGTCACTATCTGGACAACATATTCTTGTCCAATCTCTTCAACAACCATATCTAATAAACGAAAATAATAATCTGAAGTCCTACTTGCTACATTAGATGCATCAACAAACTTATGAAAAATTGTACCTTTATTATAATATATCAAGAAGTTGATAATGTAATCTCGTGTTTGACCAGTCCATCCATCACACATGATAGTAACTCCCTTCTCTTTCCATGTTGGTCGAAAAGACTTAATCCACTCCTTCATTGCATTAGTTTCTTTATTCAAATATATCTCAAACACCTAATAAGAATTCGGACCTTTAACCCCTTTTCCTATTTCAGCAGCAACATCAAGCATTGGTTGAGTCCAAGGAGAGTCTGCTACATGAAAAGGCAAATGGTTATATGACATGAATTTGGAAAACATATCTCCTAACATTTCCCTTCTAATCTTTTGGTGATTTGAATTTATCCTTGGTTGCTTAGAACTTTTATTTCTCAGAAGATCAGGATCCATCTCCCTTAATCTAGCTTCAGGAGTATCATAATTAATCCAATGCCGAGCACTACCATCAACATCTTGCTCACGAACTGAATGAGATCGTCTTAACCTACCTCCATCTTTACCTCTAAAATTACCCCCACCTCCGAAACTACCTCCTACGTTATACTGTGGCACATGTACACTTCTACATCTGTGACTTTCTTCAAATTGATATTGTGCCACACTTTCTCTTCTCGCGAACGCCATCTCTGGATCAGAATCTGAATCATCACCCAAGTCCACATACCTAGGATCTCCAACCATTGTCTCCTTCAGATGGAATTTCAATTCTTCCTTCCTCTTTTATTTATCTTTTCTTTTATCTTTACTTTCTTGAAGATGTTTCATCATTTGTTCTCTGACTTCTCGTGGCATGTTTGGGCACGATGTTATATTACCTCTTTTTCCTGCCAAATACTCTTTCACTCGTGTAATACCACCTTTAATGATTTTTTTACAAAATATACATACTGCATCATGTCTATTGGTAGTCATTGTCACAAAGTTCCAACCAATATCATCACTGGGGTTATTTTGTGAACCTTCTTGTAGGCCATATTGAGACATTTTCAATTCTGTCACCAAAAAAAAAAAAAATTATACGTCATGTCAGAATAATAACTCAATATATTAAATGGATTAAAAGATTAATTTATATGTTCTATCTACTCCAAATAAAATTAGTAAATGGTAAGACACGCAGTGACACACATATAGAAATATTTAAAATTGATTCGATTATTAAATAAGCATAATAAATAGTCTAGATTAATATTTAATCCTTAGAACTTAATAATTATTTTTTTCGTGGGTCTTGATACGAACATGACAAGATTAACATTCTTAATTGTGATACCTATTTAAATTCTATTAAAATAATTAATAAACTTTATTAGAACACAATAATTATTTGATTGTGGTTAAGGATGTCAAATATGACCAGTTGATACGAACCTGGCACAAACGATTATAAAATTAATTTGACTATTAAATAAGCATAATAAATAATCTAGACTAATATTTAATACTTAGAACACAATAATTATTTTTTTTGTGGGTCTTGATACGAACATTACAAGATTAACATTCTTAATTGTGATACCTATTTAAACTCTATTAAAATAATTAATAAACTTTATTAAAATTTTTTAATTAAACACATGTTTTATTTTATCAAAAATATATCTCAAATGTAACATTATAATATTTAAATGGACAAGACAACACTACATTTTTTTAAAAAGAGAGAGAGACGGTGGCTGAAATCTATAGGATAAATAGATCTTAAAAAGTTAAAAAAAAAAAAAAAAGGCGGTAGTTGATGTGCATAGTGCATAGATAAGTAGAGTTTAAAAAGTAAAAAAAAAAAAAAAAATCGGTGGCCGATGGCGGAACACCACACATGTTATATCCTCACAACCACAAAAAAAAAATAAATAAATAAGAAGAAGAGAGAGGCGGACCAGGTGGGTGGCTAGACTAGAGTGTTTACCAAAGAAGTGAGAAATTCGAATGGAGCGTTGCAGTCAAAATCCACTCGTCTTCAATCATTTGTAGCAAGCAACGACCACACCAAAAAGCGATCAAACATTGGAGAGCTCAGATCTAATCATTGGTCCAATAGTCAGAGTTCGAGTTCAGCTCTTTCGAGTAGAGGAGAACATAGTTTCAAAAACCACCTCAAGAAAGTTAGATCTGGATATACAGATACGTTTTTAAGTGATTAGTTGAAAGATTTTTTAAATCTAAACCATGTATTTGAGATTTGAGTGAATGAAGGAAGATGGGAGACGGAGGTTGAATTTGGGTTTTAAATGAAATCAATTTTTGGGACTGAAATTTGGGTTTTATACTCAAATCATTTTTTTTGAATCGTAACGGGTCAAAATGGCCGTTACATCCGTTACGGAGGCGGCTTCGTAAAATTCATTCTTTCTGTTATATTGGACCGTAACGCGATCGGTACCTGTCGTTATTGTTACGTAATGGCCGATTTTCAAAACCCTAGTTGAACCATCTCCCACTCTTTTATTGTACTTTTGTCCTTGGAAGCCAAAACCCCACCAATTACCACAATTGCAAGTGGCAATCCCTCACATTTTCTTAATATGTCTCGTGAGTATTCCTCTAAATGCGGAGGGCAGCGGGTGTTGTTAAATGTCTTCTTACAAAACAGAGTCAAAGACTCTTTATCAGACAAGGCTTTCATTTCATAGATATAACCATGAGATTCTAAGCACGAAGCAGAAGCAGAAGTAGAAAACGAAGCTACATCAAGTATACGAGTTGTAAGTAGTACGCAACTACCACAGTTGTTGTTAGAGAATATATACTTGATAGATTCCCATGCATCTATGCTCCATACATCATCTAACACAATCACGTACCTTCGTTGTTGGAGGAATTCTTTGACGATTGCTTTCAGCTTATCGTCGTGCATGGTTTCCAGTCTTTGAGGCAGTGTTTGCTTTGTTTCATCGTATAGTTGTTCAATAAAGTCCTTTAGGAGCTTTACAATGTCAACTGATTGTGAAACAGTGATCCAAGCATGGCTTTGGAAGTGTCTCTTCACTCTTTCATTCTCAAAGACTTTGTTTACCAATGTGGTTTTGCCCAACCCCGCCATACCCACCACCGAAACGACTTTGAGTTGAGAGTCATCATCAAGAAGCCAACTTATGAGTTGTTGTTTGGGCTTCTCGATGCCCACAAGCATAGTTTCTTCAATTAGAAGGGCGTCACCGCGGCCATCATTCCAGTTATTGCTAATGATAGCAGAGCTTGAGCCTTGTTCTATATTTCTAAATCTCTCAGAACTCTTAAAGATATTGTCAAGTCTAAACTTTATTCTTTGTAGTTCAGAAGCAATTCGATGGCGAGGTTTTAGGTTCTGAATAGAGCAAGCAACCTTTCGCAGAAAACCATAGAATCCATCCCCATCATGATTCCCCAACCAGAGCACAAATTCATCAAGAACGTCTTCGGTGTCGTAAGCAACATCTCGCACTTGCTTAACCAAAACTTGGAGATGTGGATCATTTTTTTCTCTGGCATCAACTCCTCTCAAGAAGGCCTTCATTTGCCCCACTTCATCTTTTATCGATGTGCTCAACTTCTTTCTGAACGCCACCTAAAAGTCTTGTCTCTTGAAGCATGATGGATTTTTACTGGTCGAGCAGAAAGGATACAGCAATCTCTGCCATATTGTATTCACTTCTCTTCCGATGAGCCTTTGGGTCTCTGAAAGGGTGATGAAATGGTCGAAGATTGGAAACTAACCACAACAAAGATAGTTTGCACCTTTGGGAGATGTAATACCGAAACTTTTGGGAACTAACCAGAGCAAGTATATTTTGCACCTGGAAGAACTCAAAAGGAAAATCCAACAGAGAATATTGAGGAAAGGGTTGAAGGAAAGGGCTAAATAAAGAGCAAATATACTCAACACTGAAACTGATTTTGAGTGCAATTAAAGATCTTATGTCATTCCTTGTAACACATACATAAATGTATATCCAAAAATTGGAATTTCCGCCGTCAATAACTTAATAAATTTAAGAAGCGTGGAAATATAGTTTTGATATAGGACTTAGATGAGTCATTATATCTGTTTTTTCTTCCTTTTTCTAGGTAAACATCCTTGGATGTTTCTTTCCTGGGGTCTAGATA